AGGCCCGGTTCCTCTTCCGATTGCTCGATTTCTTCGCGCGCCACATCGGACATGTCTAATTTGGATCGATTGTTGGAGCACATCACGCCCCTTGTTCCCGCCCAATCTTTCCCCAAGGTAACACAAAAATCAATTCAACTTTGCTGTTTGATTTTGTTTTTTGTGCTTTTCTCTAGTTACTGCCTTACTTGTCAGTTGTCACCATGGTCTAGGTGTTGAATTTAGTTAATTTGCAGTGAAGTAGCAGCATTGGACCATGCTAGGTAGTCAATGAATAAATGAATTGAATGAATAAATAAGATCTTTAATTAGTCAATGTAGATGAATGCCATTTAGCTTCTGTAATTTATAGCCTGCTTTGACGTAAGCCCTAGATTGAGCTGTTGCAAACAAGGTAGTACAGTGTGAATGTTGTTTGTTTTAAGGTAGCTTAGGTTTTTGCTTGTTTCAAAGGGCATTTGGCTTATTTTTGTGGAAATTTTGTGTGTGTGGGAATTATCAGACGAACTCGAGGAGATGGAAAACAAGGGAGGTCGAATTGCATCCTTACTTTGTGCTTGGGGACTTGTGGGATTCTTTTAAGGAATGGAGTGCTTATGGGGCAGGTGTTCCTATAGTGTTGAATGGGAGTGAATCTGTGACGCAGTATTATAACGTCTCCTTGTCTGCCATTCAGCTGTATATCGATCCCTCAAAACCGTCCACGCGGCTAAGGTGAGTATGTTGGTGTGAAACATGTCGTTACTAAATTCGTTTATTGAATGTTTGATTGAACTCGTTTCATTTATAAATGTGCCTTTCTAATGGATGATGATTAATTACCTTTCATTTTGAATACTTTTAAAGCAATGTAATCTTTTATAGTTCGCTTTTGTTAGGACTAGGTGAATTGTAATCGTTCATTCTAGAATTCAACGAAGATTTTGTTATGCATCTTATTCTGCATGATGTGTATACATGGTTCAAATTACCAGCTAAGAACTTGAGGGTTTTATTTGTAGTCCTTGATGCGAGGAAAAACATTTAAAGAAGGATTGCATGTCTTATTAATTATCACGTTGATATTATTTATAGTTTCTAACATCTTGAAGCAGAATTAAATGAGTCTGAAACAAACTTTCTCTTTTATCTACAAATTGATAAAAGAGTCACAGAATAATCTCCCATGACAGCTTGCTTGGTTATTCTTATTTTAGTGTTTGGTATGTTATTAATATCTGACCAGCTGATATTTTATTGTGTGGGGGTGGCTTTAGTGAATAAAACTACACATTATCCAACAAATACCTAAAATTCCCAATAATAGACCGACCCCTACACG